TGAATGTGTGTCCGCAGCTTTAAGTCGTATCTCCTCCTCAACGAAGCAATATCGAGGACTAGTTTCAAAAGCAATTATGTTAAGCAAGTTACGAGGATGAACATAGGCCATAAAAATTCCGGGTTTCTTTCATGGATTTCCCGGAAAAGCCAAAAAACATCGAAAAAATGCAGTTTTTGGCCCATATCTCGGCAACCAGACCACTTAGCGACTTGAAACATGTACCAATCGATTCCTGCCATAATTTAGAACAATATTGCCGAAGAAAGTTTTCAAAAATATCCTTTCGTTCGGTAACAAAAAATTTTTTTTAATTAATTAAAATTTGGACCAAATTAGTAGGCATTTTTATCCAACCACACCACACGCGTCATCACGTTCAATAGCTGCGCCATCACGTTCAATGGCTGCGTCATCACGTTCAGTAGCTAGGCGCGCAATGGTTTTTAGTCATGTAACTCTATTGTAAATAAAACCTGTATTTTAACCAATGGTTTTACTAACCCTGCTCTTGATGTACGCTAAAACAGAACTATTTTTAGATAACATAAGGAAATTGCGCTTAAATGTCACTAGACTTTTTAATTAACTTGTTTTAACATTTTATGCAATACAATATTGTCTGTCTTTTATGTTTGTATTTAAACCCTTTCGTGTGACAGGTTATGTATTTGATAAAGCAAGGAGGAGTCAACGATTTGTCATGTTTGATAAGAACCCATTACAGCTTTATTTAACCTCTCGTGTACCTGTAAGTGTAAGACAAACATATCCAAGAAATTGTTGGGCCTACACACGTAACAGTGGCGTAGCTAGGATCGTCTCAAGGGGGGGGGGGGGGGGTTCCAATTTTTACCCGGGGACAAACTTTCGATTTGCACCCCCCCCCCTCAAACTTTATATATATATATATATATATATATATATATATATATATATATATATATATATATATATATATATATATATACCGAGGGGTCTATGGGGGGGGGGGTTATGACCCCCCTACCCCCCCTGCCTACACCACTGTGTTTGATAATAACCCATTACAGCTTTATTTCACCGCTCGTGTACCTGTAAGTGTAAGACATACATATCCAAGAAATTATTAGGCCTACACACGTAAAACAATTTCCGGTTGCCTGTATTTTTAAAAAAATCCGACTTCACATCGGCATCAAATGACCTTGGCAAACTAAACCGAGTAATAAATGTGCTTAAATAAAAAAAATTACATTTGCATAGCACCTGCTTTAAACAAAGATCTATGCCTGATGCTGGTGTACCGAGCGTGTTGGGTTTTTCATGCTTGCGGTTTTTTTCTAAAACCCGAAACGAACCGGAGACTGTGTAAATTTACTTTGAAGAGAAGGAAAACCTTAGGTCATACACGTTGCCAGGTATATACAAGCATATTGAAGACTCGTTTAAACCGGTGTTTCTTTCAGACGTTTTTCTCCAGGGGGGGGCGTACTAAAATAAGCTGTTAATAAAGTTCTTTTCATTTTATGGCAACGGTTTGTTTGGTAAGCAGAACTTATACCTCATGTGTGTTGACCATAGTGGGGCCTTGACCTTAGGGGATCTATCTATAGTTTGTCCACATGTAGTGCGATAATAATAATGATGATGATAATAATAATAATAATAATAATAATAATAATAATAATAATAATAATAATAATAATAAGCTGTTTAACATTACTTTAAATGCTTTATACAATTATCAATGCAATAATAATGAGCTGCCATTAATAGAAATTAACGTGTAATAAAATAAGTCAATAAAGTTATTTTAGTCCACAAAAGCTAGTGCAGGGCCTATTTGATTTATTCATAAACATTTATGAGCACAAATAATGCGAGGAGTAAAACGTTTCATAAATCGTGGAGATCTCGAAAACACACAGCCCATGTAGAGTTTCTTCCAGACATCTCTGAAACAATTCTACCCCCCCCCCCCCCCGAACGAAATGAAATTTATATAATTTATATAGAAAATATATACTTTTAACAGTGTCCGCCCCCCCCCCCCCGAAGAAAGTCTACCAACCCCCTCCCCGAAAATTTCACATTGTTTCTTCCGGACCGCACCGGGTGACACCATTTAGGGGGGTGACACCAAGGCAAAAAATAGCAAAATATATAGAGAAAAACTTGAGGGGGGGGGGGGTGCAAATCAAAAGTTTGAGGGGGGGGGTGCAAATCGAAAATCTGAGGGGGGAAAGCAAATCGAAACTTTGAAAATTTGTCCCCGGGAAGGGTCGCTACGCCTCTGGGGGGGGGGGGGGGGGTAACACCATTAAGTGCCGCACCGGGTGACACCCTACCTCGCTACGCCACTGACTAAATAACATATGTAATAGCAAATCTCTGGACAGCACATTGCACTTTTTGTAGTGGTTCAGATGACTTGTTAATAATTTACACATGATGAATAATCTTAATACATCGTGCCGCATCTTAACTTTTTAATCCTGTGTTAAGTTAATCCTCATCTTGTATAGACAATGCACCTGTGATCAAATCCTCAAATACGGGCAAACCACCTACAGCCCTATGGAGAAAACAAATGTTACTAAAGCCCCTAAAACCGATTATTTGTATTTAATATAGTGTTAGCATGTGCATTCAATAAATAATGTGATTTTTAATAGCGTCATACTATTAAGGATATGGGGTGTGAATCTAGCGACGATGTGGCTGGGGAAGGTAGGCGGGTTCAGAAAGTGTGACGACACACTTTTGCATTAAAATATTATCATAAATTGAATTTTACCGTTTTTAAATGTTTTTGTTTATATATATATATATATATATATATATATATATATATATATATATATATATATATATATATATATATATATATATATATAAGTATTTTAGAAAAGAAATCGGTGTTTAAAACAGAATCTGTAATTTTGGGGTGTGTTGTAGGATTAGATGTGATGTCATAAGGGAGATGGGTGGGTGGGGGGGGGGGGGGGGGGGCTGGGCATTTTGTGCTGATGTGCAGAGGGCGAAGTAAAAAACGTCAAAATAAGCTTGACAATATTAATTACATGGATGGCTCCTAAAAGGTATTATATCTCTGCCATGATATGTTTGAATGTATCAACTAGAAGGCCACCTAGATCGGAAAATACATGCTCTATACACGACTTAAGACCGAACAAATAGCTTCCGCCTTAATCAGACCCTGTTCTTAAGTGTTTTAATAAGGTTTTAATTAGCCGAGGAATTAAATTCCTAATCAAGCAACAGTAGCAATTGCATGTTTTATTATATTCTTATCCTTATCGCACCGACAAATACTAACGTAACCAGGCAATGCTAGAGTCGATTGCTGTTTCAGTGAGGATTGCCGTTGAGAGGAAGTTTTTTTTTTTTTTTTAAATTATTAAATAGGTTTCATAGAGAGGACGATTTTAGATAAGAGTTTTCAGAGAGCACCATTATCTAGATAATCTCTAGTCAAAGTGAAATCAAATCTTCTGAGATTAGGCAAAATTGCATTTCACATTGCAACTTGACTATTAGGCAAAATTGCATTTCACATTGCAACTAGACTCAAGCCGACTGGATTTCGGTAGATTGTAACGGTGTGTAAGTGGGGAAGGGGGGGGGGGGGTCTGTTAATCCTTGAGTAGACAACATGTCAACCTTTATTTGTTTTTAATCCATGAGTAGGCAATTTAGCCCAGTGTCTAGAGAGTGGATTCTAAATTCCAAAATTGATTAGCATGCAAATTGAAAAAGTAAAAACATGTCCTCCTATCAATCAAAGTATAAACTCCTCCCACAACTCATTAATGAGACGGTGTGGCCTAGAGGTAGAGCGCTATAAGCTAAGCTGAAAGTTCGATTCCGGGTCTATGTCAGTAGGACGTCCCTGAGTCCACCCAGCTCTGGTGGGTACCTAACTCACGTTGATTAAAGTAAAGGCGACTGTACATGGTGCTGACCACACTATCTCTTCATATGCCGATGTCACAGAAACACGTGAACTCTACTTCACTTGCCCCATGGACTGTTAGTTTCAAAAAACGGAACTTTTCTTTACAAAAAAAAACAAATTTAGTACCATTGCCACCGATCATCCATTCTAGACTAACAAGGTATATTTAGAATGTGGTATTAACACTGGGGGGGGGGGGGGGGGGGGGGCAACAATCACGTGATGTAATGTTTACAAAGCCTACCCTTCGGTTAAAATATAGTTTGAACGTAATAGACCCGTGACGCTGTCAGTGGAGAAATGGAATGAATCAAAAAGCAAATCATCAACCAGTAGCATCAGGCTGTACCTGTTAAAAAGGTAGGTAGGAATTGGCAGGTATGATCTTATGATCTACAAAACGGGTTCCCTATCTATGGGTCGTGGCCCCCATCGGGGATCACGAAGGTGTTTTGGGGTCTCCAACTTGTAGACTAAACTTAAAAAAATTAATTGTATGGGGTCGCGAGTCACTCGAAAACGTTTAAAAACCTGAGGTTTAAACGGACACTCGCTAGTAAAATCATATGTTAAATGCTATAGTTTTATGATTGAGATGTGTTTGTGGACGTCCCTGAGTCCACACAGCTCTAATGGGTACCCAGACTTACTTTAGGGAAACAAAGGCGACTGGGCATAGTACTGACCACATTACCCCAAGTATGTCGAGGTCATTGAATGTCACATTACTTATGTCCTATCACTTGAAATAAAAAAGACTCTAAGTTAACTTCAATACTTCATTATTTATATAATACAGCTCCCATGACACATCTTCTCTCCAGGCTCATTCGTAGCAAACTCACTGACATCAAAAACACGGCATTCAAGGGACATCACTAAAATTATAACACAAGGGACGCAACAATAACTAACAAGTAAATAAGATGAACTCACTTCATTTACCCTATGTGTCTCATGCACGAACGTGAAACGGTGATGACAAGAAATCAATTGAGCTGATTTACGGGACAAAAAACTATCAAGAACATGTACTCACTCATACTTGGCGCCGTCCTTAGCGACACAGCTAATCCTGTAAAAATCATTCTCAAACCGTGTCCCATTGGCCACGTTACGTAGCGGCGCCTGCTCGTCCACTTTAAAATCGCTGTTTTTGACGACAGGGTACAGGTCGCACTCGATCTTGCCGTGTTTCTCCACGGCCTCGGGCAGGATGATGAAGCGCCCGGCATGCAGAAGCACCCAGTTCGGCTCCACGTCGCACTTTATCCGTGGGTGCTTGACGTAGAACGACATGATGGCGGGGTCATGGAGTTCCAGACGTGGAAGCGGACACGCTTCTTTTTTCCCGCCATTTTGTCTCGTCAAGTTCGATGTAAACCGGACCACGACGGGTTGGTCGACGGGGAAATATGGAGCCGTGTCCGGGATGAAAGGTTTAGAGTTCGGGTTCAAATCTCGCTCTTTCTCGACGATCTTCGTGGTCGGCGTGTGGATGAGACCCAGGGCAAACGACAGGACCACTACGGTGGTGATCAGCAGGACGATCCGTGTTGCGCATGCGCCAGGGGAGCGGGGCGAAAACAAAACGGTGAAGTAACGTCTGAGCATTTTTTGAGGTGGTCACTGTTTAGCGAGTCATTGCTGCGTCAGTGTTGCGTCAGTGTTGCGTCACAGAGTCGGGAGTCTTGAATCACTTCACCAAACTATGCCTGTAAAATAAAATAACCATCAGAAAAACACTTGTGTAACATTGAATTAATATCAGTGAGTGTAAGCATCTAGACATAAATGTATGTAGGTACGTCTTTAAAAAACGTCGGTTCGTGGACTACGAGGATATTATTTTTCTCGCTTCTTTAATCCTGGAAAAACCCTAAGCATTAATCATCAATATATTTCTAACTTGAATCCTAACCTTGACCCTTACTACACAGTAGATAAAAAAAAACCCAGAGCAAACCTTGATAAGATAAAAAAGAAAATCTGCGGTGTCAGCGTTTTGACAAGAACCCACGACATCTTGGCTTCAACTCACATGCAAGACAAACACGTCTAAATGATTATAAAGTGTCCACACATGTAAATACAATTGGCGCTAGCCTGAATTCGAAACCAAGACTTCAAATCGGCATCAAACAGTGTTTATTTCAAACAGTTTTTACCAGGAGGGGGTGGGGGGCAGTGTTTCTTCCAGACTTTTCTCCGGGGGGGGGGGGGGCGGTAGAATTTTTTCGGGGCTTTGCCCCCCCCCCACCCCCCGAACAGATGCCTGGAAGAAACTCTCGGTGGGGAATGGAGGGGAGTGGCACTTGAAACTTTCTGGGGGGGGGGGGTTCAAATTTCAGGTTGGGAACGCTGATTGATGTCTTGTATTGTGTATTTAATTTATATACTTCGTTCGGGAAGTGCGAGGCGGTAGACATGCCTCAATGCCTCCCCCACCCCCCGCAGAGATGCCTGAAAGAAACCCTGGTGTTAAGTCACACGTATCTTACATATTCTTTACGACACTCCAGTGCAACAAAACAAACCATGTACAGTGAAGCGTGACTGCATGTCGTTGTGTCATGAAATAAATCGAGAACCAAACCAAACTTTTTAGGAATCGGCGTGGTCAAGTTGACACGGAATGCTTAATTGTGTTGGAGGGAATCCCTTTACACATTAGAATTAAGAAAGAAGAGGTATCATATCACCACAACTCTTCCCCCCCCCCCCCTCATCCCCACCCACCCATAAACGAAGAGAGTGACTGAAGAAACAAACTCCCAGCGAATATCAATCTAGTACGACAAGCCGGGGGGGGGGGGGGGGGGGGGGGAAGGAAGGAATGTTTGAACGTTAACATTGGCCAGAGAACTGTATGTGTTTTATGATAAGGGTGATCAGTGGCTTTTTTCCAGACATATGTGGGGGGGGGGGGGGGGTAAACTTCCGGGAGGGCTGAGGCACCGGTTGAAATATATTTTTCTAAATAAACTCTGTATTTTGTCATTTCATCCGGGCAGGGTGCCCACCCCCTTCCCCTTCCTACCCGCGGAGAGGTACATTTAACTCTGAGCTTTGGCCACAGCCCTAATCCTAACCTAAAAATCGAAACCGGTATAAAATTGAAATCGTTAGCATACTGTACTTATCTATACTTGGACAAACAAGGACGGCGACACGTGTCTGTATGATCGAACTACGTAAACCGTAGAACGTTACACTTCTCGAAAAAAAAAATTATTTCGGTAGCCAAAACTTATGCATAAAATATGTTACACAATCTGTTACATCTCAAATTAAATTTTAAAATTAAGTTTCCATAACTCCGTCTCCGCTTATTTTTCCCGGCCCAACTTTTGTAAAAACTCTCAATGTGAATTATTTCGTTTCTCTTTGTTAGTTTATGACGTACAAAACATATCTACGCTATAGCAATACAAGCAGTTGTTGTTCTTCTGAAGATAACGAGTTATCAGCTAATTACGCCTTAATTGGCCCACTTTCTACAAATTGACATACAATTCCACGACAGAAACTACTACACACAGTGTGTTGTGTGCCACTGGCCAGAGGGTTTTTTTTCGTGTTTGTTACTAGCATATATTTGTTTGTTACTAGCATTTCTGTGTGTTTGTTACTAGCATTTCTGTGTGTTTGTTACTAGCATTTATGTGTGTTTGTTAATAGTATACATTTGTGTTTGTTACTAGTATACATTTGTGTTTGTTACTAGCATACATTTGTGTTTGTTACTAGCATACATTTGTGTTTGTTACTAGCATACATTTGTGTTTGTTACTAGCATACATTTGTGTTTGTTACTAGCATACATTTGTGTTTGTTACTAGCATACATTTGTGTTTGTTACTAACACACATTTGTGTTTGTTACTAGCATACATTTGTGTTTGTTACTAGCATCCATTTGTGTTTGCTACTTGCATACATTTGTGTTTGTCACTAGCATTTATTTCTGTTTGTTACTAGCATACATTTGGAGGCTTCAGAAGGGTTGCTTTAAGTAACATTCAGTCAGGCCTACTTGGATTATGTAAAATACTTTCGAACAGAACTAAACAGTTATCTTCTATATATATAATTCTCTTCTGGGAGACGCTAAAAAACAAGCTGCAAGCGCGCTCCCTACCACCCCACCCCTACATGGTCTGGTGAGCTTTGGTTCACGCTAAATGTTTACATTCGTAGAGCCGGGTTTAGTGAAGGTTACTATGGGCAGATTAATAATATTTTTAATTAAACATCTGGAAGGATAGACTATAAAGGCCTAAAGATAAGTATATATACATAAACTTTTTAGAATGAAACTTTTATATATGCATTAATATTAAGGAAATAAAATGTTTTTTTTTTAAATATTATAATACATGGCTATTACTTTAACTATAAAAAAAAAGCGAGATTACCTCTCACATGAATTGAACAAGATAAGAAAACTATTTGGGGTTTGCTACATACATGTTTATTCCTATTAGGTACCTTCGATATGCAGACAGACAGATCGGCAGGCATGCAGTCAGGCAGACAGAGAGAGAGAGAGACAGACAGACAGACAGACAGAATGACAGACAGACAGATTTAAATTCAAACGATTCTACACTGTTATGATTCAATCAACTACATTTGCATATTTTTCGCCCACATACACGCCCATGGCAATCTAATATAAAGAACTCTATTGTGCCGGTAGCTGAAATGTATAGGCCACATGGGCCTTCTGTTCTATACAACTTCAACATGCTGAAAATGAAAAGCAATTTTTTTTTAATCAAAGGATATTATTTTAACACTGCTCTAAGGAAACTATCCCCGCCTCATATAACGCAATATAACACAAGGACAAATCGCACCCCTAATCCCCCCCTATATCGCGTTATATGTTATGTGTACGGTCTAATATTAGTCCTCCTGTTGATACAATCTATCTTCTATATATATAATTCTCTTCTGGGATCAGTTAGAAAACAAGCTGCAAGCGCGCCTTTGCAGTCCCCTCTCTTCCTCTCTATCACTATCACTACCACCTCCACCCCACCCCCACATGATCTGGTGAGCGGTGTTCACTCTGTTTACATTTTACAATCATAGAGACGGGTTTGGTGACGGCTATTAGGGGCAGATAATTTAGTTTGAAACGATTTTAAACTTAGAGGAGGTAACTAAGAGGAGGCTGCTTTCACGTGGGGGGGGGGGGGTAGTTTTTTTTAAGCAAATATTTTCAATGGCAGCATTGGTACTGTCGAATTCACAAATTATAAATTACTGAAAAGTAGAAAAAAAAAAACTAAATAGCGGCGTATGATACGCAGCGGGTCAGCTCGTATATATAATTCTCTTCTGGGAGACACTAGAAAACAAGCTGTAAACGTGCTCCCTACCTCCCCACCTCCCCCACCCCTACATGGTCTGGTGAGCTGTGGTTCACTCTAAATGTTTACAAACAGAGCCGGGTTTAATGACGACTATTATGGGTAGATAATTTAGTTTGAAACGATTTTAAACGTAGGGGGGGTATCTAAGTGGTTTTCTTTAACCGAGGGGGGGAGGAGGGGGGTATCGTCCTTAACGAGCGACTTATAGTGTTTTAAAGAAATATTTTCAATGGCAGCGTTAGTAGTGTCGAATTCACAAATTATGAATAACTGAAAAGTAGAAAAAACAACAACTAAATAGCGGCGTATGTTATGCCGCGGGTCGGCTCGTTAGCTATACATCGCTAGAGACGCGCTGTTTACAGGGACACCACCGGTTCACTTTGAGGTACTCTCAAAGAGGCTAACGTGCATTCGCGTGTCATGTCGACAATAGGTCTAATGTAGCCTACAGTACGCACTAAACTATTTTTGTGTTTGTTTGTTTGTGGTTCTAGAACAATTTGTAAAAATCATTTATATAAACAGCGCTTGTTAAAAGTACAATTCAAGGACTAATATTCGACGAAAATTTTCTTGTTTTTCTCGCGCTATGCAATGGTGGATTAAGTCAGACCCAAGGGCGGATTAAATCTGCGAATGGCCTAGTGGTGGATTAAGTCGGAGTGGGCCCTAATGGCGGGATTAACACAATATCGTGCTATAGCTTTAAAACAACATTTCAGTCCCCCGTCCCCCAGGGAGGTGGTGGGGGGAGGCCAACCTGGTCAGCCTCCTTAATCCACCTCCAATGGTATGGTGGAAAATGTACTAATGTTTAATCCACCTCTAATGCTATGGTGGAATATGTCGTACTAATGTCTAATCCACCTCTAATGCTATGGTGGAATATGTCGTACTAATGTTTAATCCACCTGTAATGCTATGGTGGAAAATGTACAAATGTTTAATCCACTTCTAATGCTATGTTGGAATATGTCGTACAAATGTTTAATCCACTTCTAATGCTATGGTGGAAAATGTCGTACAAATGTTTAATCCACCTCCAATGCTATGGTGGAAAATGTACAATTTTTAATCCACCTCCAATGCTTTGGTGGAAAATGTACTAATGTTTAATCCACTTCTAATGCTATGGAATATGTCATTAAAATTTAATTATAAAGTAATTTACAATAGAAAGCAGGCCTAGGTAGGTTAATGGTAGTATCAGTACAATGTTGAGTGAATCAATAGTTACATTACATCACTGTAGTCAGAACATTGGTCGCATTTACTCTTTTCATCCACCTCTAATGGTATGGTGGAAAATGTACTAATGTTTAATCCACC